CCCGACATAGCCCTAATACTCTCTCTCTCTCTCTCTCCGCGCTCTTCAACTTTTCTTGCGCTCAACTGCGCTGGCTCGTCCTTGGCGCTGAAACAAAAGGCCAAGTGTTAGACGCATACTTAAATGCGCCCAACGTTGGCCACCACGCCTAACCGAGTGGGGGAGGGAGAAACGCGGACGAGAGACCGGCACGCGGCCTGCTCTCGTCACAACTTTGATTATACTTCAAAAGTGCATATTACTGTGGTTTTGCAATAATTTTAGGCATTCGGGCGCCATTTTGGATTGGTTAACAATAAAAATCAAAGTTTGTCAAAGTATATTTTTGAAGTACAACTTTCGAGTCCCGTATCCTAATGGGGGCAAAATTCTTTAAAAAAAATCGAAAATCTCCATTTTTTTGTTTAGTTTTAAAAATAAACAATTTGTGCTCATTTATTGATAAATCTGACGATGCCATTCGAAAGATAAGACTTTTATACACCCAATATTTTGTCCACACGAGTTATAATTAAAAGGCACGAGCTTGAAGTTGACGTTAAAATTTTGGCTATTTGCACGTTAAAGGGTTAATTTTACATTTTAGTGATGAATATACGCACAAATATTGTGTAATCCTTTGAGATCAGTCACTAATAAATACTCTTTTGGTCGGAGATGACAAAATGGAGTGAAACGATTTTTTATGTCGGAATGTTGTAATTTAAAAACTGTAATAGTCTTGTTCAACTCCTTCAGTCATAGAAGCCACTATAGTGGCTATCTGATTTCTTTTTTTTTTTAGTGATACTTCTTTTTTTTCTTTAAAAATTCTGAAGTCTTTTGCATTTTTGAAACATATGATATTCTTTTTTTTGAATCAATAACACTAATTTGTTAACTTATAATTAATTATAACTGTTATAAACATATTATATTGGCACTTTCAAATTAACAAACATTTAATTGTAATTCTTTCAGTCATGCATTCTAATTTTTATTTTGGAAGTGCAAATATTAGGACCCTTTGTACTTTTTGACGCTGAATCTGCATCTGATACAAAAAATTAAATAAATCCAAAGTTAACCCCTTTAATAATATAAAAACTACACCTTTTTTCATAATTTTCTTTGTTTGTTGATGTATAATTTTTTTTACATTTATTATATTTAGAATTTTTACATTTAAAATTAATTTATCTATATTTCCACAACAAAAAAACTTTAAATTTTGTGATTGGAAGGGTAGTCCTCAGCGCATTTTAGGGGTTGATTTTATTTTTTCTTTTAATTTTAATGCCAGATTTGAATTCAGAGTCGAAAAAAACATTGGAAACGTATGTCGGGATTTTCATAATAAAGCAAATTGAACTACCTGACTGTAAGGGTTAAATAGTGAAGTAATAAACGATTTTGTACTTTCTCATATTTTTTATATTTTCCGACGATTGTGCAGGATAAATTCTACTTATATCATCTGCATGATAAAATAATTCAATTTTTCTAATCATTTGTAACGAGAATGTACATGACGAAGGGGAGAGTGTCCGATGGATTCATTCGATTCATCATTTACTTTCGAACTAGCCTGAAGCAACTCGACATTACGCGCATGCCAACGGTTTATTAATCCTCAAGTCGTAAGAAAGAAAAACGAAAGGAAAAGAAAAGAATCCTAGGCGCTACGGCATAAAGGGCGACAGGTGTACCTAAGTGCCGCAGAACTTATTTATGTTCCATCTCATAGAGATCATTTGACACAGAGGAGTATATTGTAGATGAGACTACGCGCAGGAATCTGCTACACGATACAGGTAGGCTAGCCAGCTTTTACGTTCAGTACTTACGCAAATCGTTTACCCTTTTTTTTATACTGCAGAGCCATGGTAGCATGTGGACGATCTCATGAGAGATCGTCGGTCAATATGCGCGGCAAGAAAGGCCGAAAATGGCGGCGCCCGTATCCGTCACGTGGTAAGCGGATAATACTTTTCGATCGCAGGCCAACATCGTTTATTGTAACCACAGTGATTAGAAAGCGTAGTAAATCAGTCTTAAAGCAACTACTACAACATTGACCCTCCACGTAATTTCACTGGTTAACCTGTCCCTAATCGCATCCGGCGCACGATGAAACGTTTTTCAACGTCGCGCTTTCGCTATATCGCGGTGTTCTAATGAGCGAGCCAAGACACACCTTCCTTCGTACGAAGCAGTAGCAAACGGTGGACCCTTACGAGGATGACCGCCCCGTGATTATTATGAAGATAAGGGTATGAGAGTGAAACTCGCGCCGTGACGTTAATCACAATTTCCCGGGCAATCGTGCATAGTGCGTTAATCCGTGTGCGTGGACGCAGAATCTCACATATTACATAAAAGACAGCACGCGTCTCATGTAGTCTAAACATACTAGCCCGATCAAAGAAAATAATTAACCCTGTTACACATTTCGGGAATAATTATGCGCTTTCTACTACGTGGCGTAAGATATGATAAAATGCCTTTTTTCTCACGTGCTTTTCTTGCAGCTAAAACTGTATAGAAAGTATAGACAATTTCAGATTGAATTTCATTAATAGTCATCGAAAGAAGAAAAACAGTAATATATATTTTTTCAGCTTTGTCCTCTGTCTTTTATAATATTTTCTCTTACTTTATCAATTAAATTTGAATTGAACATACCTTAAGCTTCAAACTTTTTGCTTTGAGCGTTTTTTATAAATGATATTTCCTAATGAGTCATCAGAGCATTATTTTTTTTCTCAATCACAAGTGGTTTTTTATGAACTGTTAAAGTTAGATAAGACAACTTTAGCTACGAGTATATTGCACGTAACGAATCCATTACAAGTTTTTGTTTGTCCATACTTTCAAATTAGAACTCTTCATCGTCTTTCGTCAATTTGAAAAAATTATGTGAATGTGCTTCAGCGATTTCCATTAATTCTGTTTGTGAATAGCTTTATTATTAATTGATATCAGTTTTAATGTGATCTTCTTGCTAATCCTCATCAAGTATCAAATAGTCCTGGTCCATACGATTAGTCGCAACTTTCGAACCATGAGCTACGTAATTATCGATAAATTTTTTAAATTCACTAAGTTCCTGTCATTTTGTACTGGTGATACTTTCTCTGATGAGATGTACACAACTGATCAGTTTTCGTGAAATAATAACTAAACGTTTAAAAAATCATTTTTGCAAGTTTTGCAAATTTTTCTTGGCAAAATTTATGCATGTAAAATTATTTTTATATACCTCATATCTACCACTTTTGTTTTTCTGTTTTCCAAATCATTACTCAATTGCCTTGACTTTATCATTTTAATATATAGTGGTAGATATTCACAAATCTTATAGTAATTGGAGCTTTCATCGTTATTTTAGTGTTAAAAGTAAAAGCTAATACGAGTGATGCGAATTACATTGCAAACTCTTCAAAAGTTCAGAACTAAAGAAATAAGAATGCAGATAGAAAGTATTGTTGGACCATGGAATATTTTCTGGAAAATGATACATTTTTCACTTTAGGCTACCGTATTCGGGTTTTTACAAGTAGAGGATATTCAATTGGTAAATGGCTCCCGTACGCGCAAGCAGCTCCTGTTAGTGTGACAGCGTCAATACAGTCGAGGAAGCAGAAGGAATTCATTACATTGGAAAGTAACACAATCTCCATTAGTTTGTTCACTCACCGTATAAAGCGTAAATTAGCTAAACGAATAGTAGTTTTGCTTTAACGTGTAAAATATAAATTTTTGACGACAGCGCAGGTCTATACCAGTATAATAATATCTGTCAGTGTTCTTTATACGTTGCCGTATTTTGCACTGCATAGATTTATAAATTTCTAAAAAATGAATTTGATGGATAATCGTAATTATGAGATAAGTAGTGATGAAAGTGAAAGTGGAAGTAAAGAAAATAATATTTTAAATATAGCAATTAAAAAACAAAAATGTATTTACTATACTTCATATATTACTATCTGTGAATAATTTCGTCGTATACGATATATTTAACGACCAATTGTTCTTTGTATATAAAAATCCTCATACGGCTATGCTAGAAGAGAAAAATTTTCAAGCATCAGCAGTGAAATAAGCTCCTTTGCACCAGAGCAGGAAATGTTTGCATCGTGGAATATAAGAGCCAAGACATTCAATGAGTTCTATGCGTCCCTTCTTTTCTGTAATAGCGCTCGTTAAGCTGCTGACGCATAAATAACTAATACGTAGTCAGTTGGAAAGTCGTTCTCCGTACGTTAGCAACAGTCTGTCTATACCTGTATAGAGAGCAAAGGTGATTTGTCTTATAAGCCTATTACATAAATATATTTGCTGACTCCAATAGCGGCCTCCTACAACGAGCCGCTCACTAACGTGGAGTACAATATCTACTTTAACGCACTGCTCCGTTCGCCTAATAGCGGGCATTTAACTTTTATTATTGATTTTCAAAGGAAAAGTCCTCAATGATACCTTCGTGCAAGAATTTTTTAAAATAGAAATCATGTTTTGAAATATTTGCAATTGTTTAAAAAATATTCAATAACGTTTTGAAAAAAATTATGTTTTATTGATCTATAAATACTATAAAAGTTCTACGAATATTTATTAAAAAGCTTAACCCTGCTATGAATTTTGGTATTAAAAAATTCCTATTTTTTTTCAAAAGTTAGTAAGTTTTGTCCTAATTAATATTTTTATATAAACATTTTGAAAAATTTCTCTTTCCATATGTAAAAGAAATGTACAAAGTTTGACAAAATTTGATTAATCAGTGTCTCCAGAGTTATTGAAGTAACCTGTAATGGCCTATATTATAGTAAAAATTTATAGACTAATTAACAAAAAATTAACTCGTATCACATTAATTCTGAGCTTAGTATGCAGTGCGTATGTATAGTTTTAGTCATCTTATTGTCATTGGTGAAAATAATCATTTTATAGTTAAAATATAATACTTGTTACTTTATATTTCAAGTGACTCTTATTAATTGATAATATATTTTCAGCTATCAAGCGTTTATTAACAGCTATGTTACCTAAGCAGTTTTATTTTTTGGGATGCATCCAAAAATGGGAAATTTTGTCATATTCAGAATGTTTCGCAGACAAAATACTACTCTGATGGTAAAAATTGAACATAGATCTTAGAGTTATAAATTTAGTCACGGAATGTAATAATTAGATTTAACAATTTCAGGCTTTCTAACTTTTTGATGGCAAAACTCGAGCTTTTTAGAGACGTTGGAATCATTTGAGTGTGGAATAATAATATTTACTATCAAAATTGCACGAGCACGAAGTAAGAGAAGATGAGCCCGGAGGAAGAGGGTAGCCGAGGGGGCGGGTCCCCGCCGGCTGCTGGGGCTGCACTACATCAAACTTCTTATCCATTGACTGCTAGTCCACCTTCTGGAACAGAACCAAGTGCACGTGAATCAGTTTTAACACCTATTTCTGCAGCTGATACCACAACTTATGTCAATGATTCTACGATTACTACAATGCATCAACAATCTAGCAGTGTAAACAAAAGTCCCGTAGCTGGTGGTGATGTCGAGAAATTCGATGGTAGAATTGTGTACAACCCTGATGGTTCAGCATATATAATTGAAGGAGAAAGCGAACTTAGTGACGATGATTCGCTACCTGATGGCTGTATTGTTGATGGAAGAGGTATATCAATTCCACACTCTTTAGTTTTTCCTCAAATTGCCAATGCTTATTATGTATCGAGATTGTACGCTCATCAAGTTTATCAACAACACCAACTTCAACGATCATCTACAGCTTCGTCTAATTCTGAGCTACCTGTAATGCACAGTTATCGAGTAATTAGTTATAGAAGCTCTGACGGAACAAGACAGTCACCAGCTTCTGTATTAGCACCAACATTGCGACCTACTTCTGTACCAGTAAAACCTATTTTGATGTGTTTTATATGTAAACTAAGTTTTGGTTATGCTAAAAGTTTCATAGCACATGCTCAGGGTGAACATCAACTTACATTGATAGATGAGGAGAGACAAATACTATCACATTCAACTGCTTCTGCAATAATACAAGTTGTAGGAAAACATAAGCAACCTATTGTGAGTTTTCTTGAACCAGTTTCAACTTCTACGTGCTCTCAAGATTCGTTGGAACATTATTCACTACAACGTTCAAATAACAGCAACGAAATAAATTGCCAAAATAAATTAAACAAAAGCGGTAAAGATCCAAGTATAAAGAGTTTATTTAATAATTCACAGACTTTGCAACAGAGGCTAATATCTGGTACTCCAATAACAACATCATTGGCAAGTCAAAATATAATAAATAACAATCAGCAACAACACGGTCAATGGATTAATACTCAAGTAAGTTCCTCGCCATGGTCAAAAGTTACTGAAAGTTCAACAAATAATTTTTCCACATCTCCTTCACCTGCAACGCACAAAACCTCACAATCATCTTTTACGAGTACATCTCAGCAACCACCAAATTTTATTAGTGGTACTACTATTGGCGTGTGCCCTGAACATATTCATGGTAGACCAAGTGGCGTTGATTGTCCTAAATGTGAATTAATCTTAGCGAGTAGTCGATTGACAGCAGTTGGAGGATCTTTAACAGGAATACATAGTCGAAATTCCTGCAAAACTCTAAAATGTCCTAAATGTAACTGGCATTACAAATATCAAGAAACTTTGGAGATACATATGAAAGAAAAACATCCAGATAGTGAGACTTCATGTATTTACTGTATAGCTGGGCAACCTCATCCCCGACTTGCAAGAGGTGAAACATATACTTGCGGTTATAAACCCTACAGATGCGAAGTTTGCAATTACTCAACAACTACCAAAGGAAATCTCAGTATCCATATGCAATCTGATAAACACTTGAATAATATGCAAGAATTACAAAGTGGTAATAACGTTTCTGTAAATAATCCAACATCATCACAAGAACCCTCATTAACAACTCGAAGTCCTCTTAATCAACAAAATCAGAGCCCATTGTTGCCCACTCAATCGACGAATCAAATTAAACCAAAACCAACTTTTCGTTGTGATGCATGTAACTATGAAACAAATGTAGCAAGAAACCTACGCATTCACATGACAAGTGAAAAACACACACACCACATGCTTGTTTTGCAACAAAACATTAAACATATCCAAACATTATCTGCTCTTCAGTCACATCATCAGCAAGTACAACAAAATCAAAGTCAACATCATCAACAGCAGTTTGAACAATTACTTCATTTAGGTAATCTAGATAAGCCGCAGCACGCTGAGGCTGCTTTAGCTGATATGGCTTATAATCAGGCTATTTTAATACAAATGATAACAGGAGGTCAATTACCTCCACATATACCGTCAGACATAATTGGAGGAATCGGAAATGCGAACACTTTAATTAATATAGGATCTGATGTTGGGCTATCTCCGGAAACCATGGAACCTCCACCTGAGCCATCAGATCCAAATCCTTCAAATTTATATCACTGTTGTATTTGTAATAATTTTTCTACAGATTCCATTGAAGAACTTGGTTTACATCTTGCATCTGACAGAACTAAAAATCGAGAAAGTGAAATACTTACCAATATTGCAGGCCATTTTACATGTAAACTTTGTTCTTACAAGACTAATTTAAAAGCTAATTTCCAACTCCATTGTAAAACCGATAAACATTTACAAAGACTACAGCATGTTAACCACGTTAAAGAAGGTGGAACTCAAAATGAATGGAAGCTTAAATATCTAGGTTCTCCAACAAGTTCAGCGCAAATACGTTGCCATGTTTGCGATTACTATACAAATAGCGTTCATAAATTAGCTTTACACGCTGCATCTCCAAGACACGAAGCTGCAGCTTTATTACTTCGTCACTTACTTGAAGCTAGCGCTAATATTCCATCAGCCGTAAAATTATATCATTGTGCCCTTTGTGGCTTCAGTACAAAAAATAGACTGCCATTACTACAACATGTTAGATCATTGAGACATCTTCAGATGGAACAACTACATCAAATACAAAGAAAATCTGGAACACAAACGAATGAAATTTTTCATACTGATATTGGAGATATTTTTCAAGTTATTCCGGATCCTAACGAAACTGCTACAAACGAAGAATCAAAATCACCAGCTAATTTGTTATCTAGTACAACTACAAATAGCGGTAAGTAACAATTATTATACGAAGTTATTCGAATAGGTTTAACAGCAGAAAAATAAGCAAGTTCAGTAGTAGTTCATGAATAACGGCACAGTAAATCGCGTAATATAATCTATGCATTCTTATATTTGCATTATTAATCAGTGTCAGTTTCTAGATATATTCATATTTCAAAAATTAAATAAAAAGTCAGGGCCTAGGATTTTAATGAAACTTTTAGAAGGAATTTTAAATATATTTCTTGATGACAATTTCCCGGTATCTCATCACGGCAAGTTTTTAAAAATTTTCAATTTTTATATTTCAACTCATGGCTGATTTCACCTCAAATAATACAGAACACCAGGTGACCGGTAACCAAACAACATCAAAACACTTGAATATTGTTCTAAACTCAAAATAAGAAGACTCGTATTTTTCATTTCCCCTAAGATGCATAGTTGCATCAATAATGCACTTGAAAGATACACTTTCAGAAAATGAACTAACAAAACAAATATCGTATTCAATTTTAATCGCTTTGCGTATGCTCATTTATCAAAGCCTTCAAATTTATGTACAAAAGCAAATGTATAAATGCATTTCCGGAAAAATTATGCACTTTTTTCCAAAAAATGCACCTTATAAAAAACTTGATGTATTTCAAAGACCCCATTTTTTTGCACTCATAATTTTTATCAAGATTCTCTGATATAGGTATATCTATAGCTTGTATAAGTCTCATTTTCGGTTTTTGCTTTGTTACAAAGAAAAAAAATTGTTTCAACTATAAAAAATTTTATTCTAGCAATCATGCATTCATACTCACAAGCACATAAATAAACAAGTACAAGTTTTATTGATTATATCACCTTTTTTTATTGTCAGTGTTGTATTTTTTAACATTTTTTTTCCTTTTAATATTCTTGACATTCTTAAGTTTCTTAGAAATTTTTCTAGCTTTAACCAAAACTCTCTTTGCTTTACGTTTCCTTTGAATATTTTTCTTTTTATTTTATTTTATTTTTACCCAATAATGAACAGCAGTGCGAGCTATGAAAGATGTAGATTTACCCTAAGATATCACTGACTTCCACATGTGACACATTTCGTTCTGCCATTTTCTCATTACGAAAGTTTTCAACCTCATCCATATAAATCAATTTTATCAACGGAGTGTACTTTTGAAGATTTTCAACAAAGTATTTCGCATTTTGAATGACTTCAATTTCAGAATTATATAAATTATGCACTTGAGCATAATGCTTCACCAAATCATCTACACCATCAAAAGCATCTTTACCATGTCCAGTCGCAGAAAATATCCATTCCTTATATATTATGAATTTTTGAATTCGTGCAATTGAAAACGGTTTTTGAAATGACTGGCAGGCCCGTCAGATACTATACTAATAGAATTAATTAAAATATCATTAATTTCCTCCATTTTGCTAATAATTTTAAGAATTTTATGCAGTAAAGCGTTGGAATAATCGTGCTTTAAGTTATTGCTTACTATCGCAAAACTTTTTGTGACATTGTCTACATAGCAGACAGAAGATGTATATTTGTTTATTTATCCAGTGATTGCCTTGAACTGGATTTTTTAAATCAGTGACCAATTCCTAGCAAAATATATATGCATTAGCAAATGTTGGGAATCTAATTTTACTCTTTCTTTTTCATCTTTAACTGTTAAGCATTGTATTTCTTTGATTCGTAAATGTGAAATTACTGTGATTATATGTTTAGTAATTTCTTCCTTGGATATAGCAATGAATACTATTCTAGTTTCCAAATTTCCTTTATTCCACAATGTAAACGTTATATTATTATCATTCTATTTTTCATCAATATGTAAAACGTCAAATGTCGGCAACTGGACATAACTCGCATTCTTGATAGTAACATGTTTCTTGAGGTATTGAACATATTACTAAACTCAAACTACAAAGATTAAAACTACTTTTACCAATAAAGATTTTCGAAGCAATTAAGTGCAACTCAAAGTTGACACAATAAATACACAAGCATACGTTATTCATTAGTTTGATCAGAACATGCTTTGGACGCATAGAACAGAACTTATATTTGCTAATTTTTAGACCCAGATTCTCTTGTTTCAAAGTTTGATACACTTTCTTTAAACTACGAGTTAAAGAACGCTTGACTTTCTAAACTTTTGTGCCGTCTTCTCTTACTGTTATCCCATCTGATTTATTAGCGCTTTGACTGAAATAATTGAAGTCATCATTCAAGTTATATTACATGTCAATGTTCGTTTGACAATATCCAGTGGATAATTATAGCAGTGGATACTGCTATAATTTACTATAAATATCTGGATTTGGAGATAATATAATAGCTATAAAATTAACACGCACAAAAATTGTACATTAATAGTAATTACATAATAAAAATTTGTTATTTTTACCTTCATTTGAGACAATTTTTTTTGTCTTATCAGTCATATAATTAGTAGCTTGAGGGGGAAGCGTCAAAATTTGAAAGTTTAATAACAAAGACGCGAAAATTGTTAAGAGTTTGATCATTTCTGAAAGACACGAGCAATTACTGAAAGCTTTAGAGAAATTGTTCCTTAATTCTTGAGGGAAATAATTTTCTAACTATTTTATAGGCTCCTCAGTAGGTACATCATAAAACTTTTGTAATTTACAAACTGCAGCTTCATAGAACGATGTGACAAGCTTCTTCTTTTTTTTCATAACATATTTTTCAACACTTGTATTTTTTATTTTTCCTTTCTTACACAAAGGAGATACTAGATTTTCTAAATTAGCGATTATTTTATCATTAAATTCATCTATGAAAAATGAGAACTCTGGTAGGAGATCATCTTTTTCATCATTTACTTCCATTAAAATATTATCATCTGTCATTGTTTCTTCCTCTATTTCTACATGCGTTGCGTCATAAGCATTAACGACACGCTTATAGCAGTTACTACACACACTGTCACTAGCTTTTATATTTGGATTTTCGAACTTCCTTCGTAAAAATTCAGCATAGTCACGAATTTCTTGAAAATTCACTTTATTAATGTCATACATGACTTTAGTATGTACTTTGAAATTGTTGGGCATTTTAATCTTTACGTAGAGTATGTTAACATAGCTTACATATTGTCAGGCAGAAATTCAGAAAGTACTGTCGCTACTTGTTGAATAAAAGAGAAGACTATTTATAAGTATCGTTGAATTTGTTTGTATACATAAACACAGTGACTACATACGTAAAGATCTATGACAACAGCTGACTTCAGAACAAGGCAATACCCACCGAGTATCATGTTATTTATGTGATTGTGAGTGTGAATGCATGATTGTTAGAATAAAAATGTTTGCATTTGAAAACAAAATTTTTTATCTGTAATAAAGCAGAAATCGAAAATCGGACCTATACAGGATTAAAGGTATTGTATCAGAGAATATCTATAAAAATTTTGACCGCAAAAAAATGGGTTTTTCTGAAATACATCAAGCTTTTTATGAGATGCATTTTTTGGAAAAAAGTGCATAATCTTTCCGAAAATATATTTATACAATTGCTTTAATACATAGATTTGAAGGCTTTGTGTTATTCTATCATATAAAATAATATTCATCCGATTCCAATGAGAAATAAGCATTCGCAAATTTATTGAAATCGAATACGATATTTTTTTATTAGTTTATTTTCCGAAAGAGCATCTTTCAAGTGCATTATTGGTGTAACTATGCATCTTTGGGAAAATAGAAAAAATATGGAATTTCTTATTTTAAGCCTAGAACAATATCCCAGTATTTTTATATTGTTTGGTTACGGGTTACTCGGTATCCTGCATGATTTGAGGTAAAATCGGCCTCATAATTAATCTATAGAAAAATACAATAAGCCAATGACTATTGTTATACTTGAAAACATTACAGTTTAAAATCTTGAATGTTGTGAATATCAAGATGAAGACACTATATATCTACATATATGTATAAGTGCGTGCGCGCGTGTGTGTGTGCGTGCGTGTGTGTATGTAAGTACTTTCCGTACGCTCGGCCGAAAACGTGCTTTCAAAAACAAGCTTTCCACACGTCGTACCGAAAAATAATATATGACACATGTTCAGGAAAGAGTTCTTTGTCTCGTGTGTCTTTTCACTCTCGCTTCGCTCGAGCGTAAACGCCATGCGAGACAAGAATCTACTTTTCCGCACTTGTAACGTAATGTACTACTATTTCCGATTAGAGCAACAAAAATTTTTTCAGGGAAGCTCTCATTTTCCCGTGGATCTTACATATTTCTGCTTATACATTACTAATATTTAAATCCAATTCTCAATTTATCGAAATTTCACCAACAAAATTTTCCGTAAATTGTATATATACCTACATAAAATAAGAAAAATCTTTTTATAGTGATCGTGATGTTTCCAATTCGAAGATTTCATTACGTGTAATTTAAAATTTATAGATACAAATATATTTATACAAATGTAAGTTTATATTTATTATATTATATACTTATTATATACTTATTATATTATAATAAGTTATAATCACTACGAAATTTCTAGATAGAACATTAGTAAGTTCATAGGTATATAATGTAGAATCCTCTTATTAGGAAGATGATCTGACAAAGTGAAGACAGTTTATTCGTTATTTGATTGGCTGAAAGAGAGTTACGTGATCAGCTATGTTACGTGCCAGTTTTGATGTCTCTTCAAAACGGGCACGTGTTAGACCGTTTTTAGCTCCGAGTGGTCCCGACTCGGGCGGACTAGACCTTCAGTACGGTACCCCGACCGTGTCGCCGAATGGATCGCGTCTTTACCGATAATATCCGAAGTTCGTCCTTGCGAGAGCCAGGCGGCAGTAATCAGGCTGGAAAAAGGGAGGGGGCTTCGCCGATTGACTTAAATGAACTTACGCCGGTATGTTAGATAAGTTTATATATATATTTTAATACGTCGGATAACACTTCTAATAATAATATCGCGCTACTATGTGGTTCGCGATTTATTAAAA